AAAGCTGATGCTGAGGAGGTCTCGACTGAGGTCAGTAGATCCACAGAGAACACTGTGTTTTGGCTGCGCCATAATGTAACGAGTTAAAGCCGTTGCATAGGCTATGTCACATACCGTATGAGAAGTTACAAACTGTTATGGTTTGCAACAGACATCTGAGTTCGTTTAATTTTGTTGCCTGTGTCATTGTCAGAAATGTCATACTATCAGCATTAAATGCATGTTAAGAGACAACACAGCACCAATCCCCACTAATGACGAGTGAAAAGTCAAAAGGAATGCAATCACCGTAGCCTATGTACAGTATATAACCAAGCTTGGATGAGAACACAAAACAAAGTGATGACCCGTGTGCTATGTATCCCAAACTCAACTCGGGTGTTTTTCCCCTTAGCAGGTGTCTTATTGATGTCTTTATACTCTTATTTCTTATTTCTTTTATATCATATTCTTATTTATATGAATTTAGAGGCGTTGTTAGACCCATTTTAGGGTGGCTGAAGCCCCCTAAAAAGTCCTCAGCCTCCCTATAATTTTGGGAATATTTTGGAATTTTATATATTTTTTAAAAATACATTTAGAACAAGCGCAGACATACACTGAACATGAATCAGCAAAAAACGAGTTAAACTGATATTGAACTAATAAATACACGTTTTAGTTTGTATTAGTTAAATAAAATTAATATCGTTATGATTCCTATGCCTCATTGGCTACACTAGTGCCACGTGATTGGCGCCGCGGGCTTGTTGCTTTGCTGGACCAAGTTGGAGGTTGCGAGTCACGTTGGCTAGCAGCTAGATGGATATAAGAAGATTTTTTAAGAGAGTGAGTGAGGAGCGGGAGGAGACACACAAAGCTGATGCTGAGGAGGTCTCGACTGAGGTCAGTAGATCCACAGAGAACACTGTGTTTTGGCTGCGCCATAATGTAACGAGTTAAAGCCGTTGCAAAGGCTATGTCACATACCGTATGAGAAGTTACAAACTGTTATGGTTTGCAACAGACATCTGAGTTCGTTTAATTTTGTTGCCTGTGTCATTGTCAGAAATGTCATACTATCAGCATTAAATGCATGTCAAGAGACAACACAGCACCAATCCCCACAAATGACGAGTGAAAAGTCAAAAGGAATGCAATCACCGTAGCCTATGTACAGTATATAACCAAGCTTGGATGAGAACACAAAACAAAGTGATGACCCGTGTGCTATGCATCCCAAACTCAACTCGGGTGTTTTTCCCCTTAGCAGGTGTCTTATTGATGTCTTTATACTCTTATTTCTTATTTCTTTTATATCATATTTCTTTCTGGCCAAGCTCACTGTAGACTTAGCCAATAGTATAAAACTAAATAGTTGCATGTGATGCAAATATATGCCAGGTTACATACATTGCACAACAAATTTTTTAATTAATCAATTACAAAATAAGCTAATTTCATTAAAACAGTCATAAACCAGCCTTTATGCTTTAGTAATAGTAAGATATATTTAATTGAAGTGAATCCAGTTTCAGAGGTGGTCGAGCAAATAGATCTGCAGAGAGAAGTAGAAGAAACTGAGACAGAGGCAGGAGGTGAACAAGCAGGCCATGAGGAAGAAAAAGATCAAGAAGCTGCCGCTCCTCTTTGTGATTTAGGTGATAAAGACACAGGGCCCAGACAGGTGAAGCTGAATAGCTATCCACAAGACAGCTTTGGTACACAGAAAAGGGCATTTCACCACAGCTGGTTTGTTAAGTACACTTGGTTGGAGTATTCAGTCAACCTCAACGCTGCTTTCTGCTTCCCATGTAGAGTGTTTGGCAAAAACATTAAACATGATGCTTTGGTTAGCAGTGGTTGTAGAAATTGGAAAAAAAAACTTTGTAGTAAGCACGACATGACACAGTCCCATAAGGACAGTGTTGTTGCATGGAAGGGCTATCAGGCAACGAGCCAACAGGGAGATGTTGTTCAGATGATGATGTCTGCAAATGCACATGAGATAGTGGCGAGAAGGGACTATCTGAAGCGAATTGTTGCAGTCACCTCTATGTTAGTGGCCCAGGGACTACCCTTTCGTGGGCATGATGAAAGTGCAGAGAGCACAAACAGAGGTAACTTTCTGGCTTGCATGGAGCTTTTGATGACATTTAATCCATTCCTTCAAAATCACAGTCCTCCTTCAAATTCCACGTAGACCTCACCAGTGTCTCAGAATGAGATGATTGAGTGTTGTGCTCAGGAAGTGACCAGTGTCATTGTGTCTGAGATCACACGCTCCAAAATGCATTCCATCATGGCAGATGAGGCAAGAAATTGTCGGTCAGAGCAGCTGGCTGTTTGTGTTAGGTATGTGTCAGAGGGGGAGGTAAAGGAACGGTTTCTAGCACTTTTAGAACTGATATCCTTTGATGCCCAGTCCATTGCAGACAAGTTACAGGAGCAGCTCCAGATCAATGGCCTTGCTCATGCCAAGTGTGTGGCACAGACTTATGATGGTGCTGCGGTCATGAGTGGACCCATAGGAGGCGTGCTTTGTTGGAGAGTGTGTATTCTTTTTTCACCACCTCTCTAGTGAATCACCATAAGTTCAAAGATGCTTAGTGCAGGCTTGGGTTGGCAGCAGTAGAGCTTGTGCAACTTTCCAACACACGTTGGGCATGTCGGCTGCAATCAATCAATGCAATGCTTCAGACCATACCTGCCACATTTGAATGCCTCTGTCACTGGGTCTCCCTTGGCTATTGGAATCCAAGCAAAGTTATCAGTGTTCTCAACCATCTATGCTCTCTTGATGTTTCAGACACTTCTGTCCATCACTGAAGGACTCCACAAACTCCTTCAGAAGGAGACATTAGACCTGGCAGAAGCTCTGACTTGCAATGATGCTGTGTGTGATGCTCTCAAAGGTAAACGCACAGATGCATTTGCCACCGTAATGTTTGACTACAACCCTTCTGGGGCTAAGCCCCCCCTATCTCTCAATCCTTGTGACGCCCCTGTATGAATTAATCACATGTCCACGTTTGTCTTTTATACGTGGCAATTCATAACCATGCTTTTACTGATTTATAAATGGGTCGTTTTATTTTTCAATAATGTTCTGTGGCACGCTCGCGGTCTGCCCATGTTACTGCTCCACCAACCACAAAGGGGGGTTTCCTGGCGCTTTCGATGGCTGCCGTCGAGCCGTCGAGCTAGAAGGAAGTCACAGGAGCCACAGTCGCCGAAAATACCAGAACTTCGCCCTCCGCGAGGAATTATTTACCGATTTCCCGTAATTAGGGTTTTTGTGAATTGTAAGGAAACACTTTAGTAACACTAACTTTATATTTTCGCTGTTCTAGGATATAAGAACCGGAATCATGGTGTATAGTAATAAATTAAGTGAACTTTCACATACACAGTCATATCTCAGACCCCCCCCCCCCCCCCCAATCCCTTGCTCGTCGTTGTCGTGGGGAGCTTAGGAGACGGGGACTGCCTTGGCCTTCAGTCCTCGCCTCAACTAAATTTGCATGGTCTTTCCTTCTCCTTTCCTTTCTCTTATCTTCATCCTCTCTTGTCCACTTATCCTAATCGTTTACTTATTTTTACCCTTTCCGCCACAATGCTTTATCATAATGCCATATGACCTTTGATGTCTGGCACATATATTTGTTTTGACCATTAACCATTATGGAATTCACTAACATCGCCTCATGAACCAAAAAAATCTTCCTTACCTGGGGACTTCGCCCTCAGGCCTCACCCTTTTGCTATATGTAGAATGCGCCGCTAATGACCTTATTTTAAATAAATGAATAAATATATCCGACAAAAAAAAGTTCTACTGCGACTGCTGCGATTGGCTGACGATATCCAAGTTCGTGAGCGCAATGCACCAAAGTCCATTATGAAATTCAAAACATAACTATGTCGTGAGTATTAGAAAACATAAGACTAAGATATTAACAATACAGAAACGCTATCCCTTAAGCTACTAGTCGAAACGTATAATTTCCTGCATGATCTAGTACATCATTGTGACAAAAGAATCGTTTTCGGTATCTAATTATGATATTATATATTTCAGATTTATTTTTTCACCTAGGATTACGCCTTGATAAGGCAGCAGTCCAGTAAAGCTAATGAAAAGACTGTATTACTGTATGCATAGAGGTCTTGGGCTGCTTTTAAATAAAATGTTCTTGATGTGGGGTTTTTTTTTTATCAGTACATCTAAACAAGCCAATGGCATGATATTTAAGAAAATAAAGCTCGAGTGATATGTCATTCACAAACAAGTTAGTATATTTACAGGAATTCCATTAACTCGCTTGCCTTTGTTAGAAGGAAGAGGAGAAACAACAAAATCAACCCCTGTATTCCCCCAGTCCGGCAGGGTATCTTATTTGATGATAAGTGGGTTGAGTAAAGTGAGGAAATGTCTTTTATTTTAACCGTAATCAACCATATAAAAATATTTTCTCTATTAAGGAGATAGTGCAACTTTAAAGGAGTGAACAAGTCCAGTGAAAAAGGTTGAGGTTCCCTTAACACGACCTAATTTCAGGACCGAGTTTTGCTCGACTTTGAAGCAAGTTCCATAATCGATAAGATACGTTTATTTTATCATAAAATCTGTTTAGCTGAAATTCAGTGCTACTGACGCTGAGGCACCTAGGTTTACTTAAAGAAAGTCTGATGTCGACTAGTAATGCTTTGAAAAAAGAACCATTTTACGTTGGTCATGTTACTGGAGACTCAACATTTTTACTTCATTCAACAAAATTTACATTTTGACTGATGTTTGTTTGTTTTAAGATTAGTTTCAGGAATGCAGCATTGCAAAAACAATGCTATCGGAAACAATGGGTCTTCCTACTTGATAAATATTACAATTCCTTCGTTGTTTTTAGAAAAAAGCTTATAAAAATGGAGAAACGCCAATATCTGTTTGCCATATTTCCCTGTATGGAGCTTCTTTCCTCGTGATAACAAACATAAGCCAGTCATTCTTAATCAATTATGAGCTACGGTATAGGAGGCCGGATCAGTGCTGGGACGCTGAGGTTCTGGAACTCCGTGTTGGAGGAGAATATCCTGAGGCCCAGTTTGTCCAGCGATGCCTTGCAGTGCTCCTGGACGGGAATCACAATATCCGCGTAGGAGGTCATGTTGCGCCAGAGCTGCGCCTGCAGGAGGCTGTTCTTCGTGATGATCAGTGGGTCAGTGGAGGGCTTCTCATACTTCAGCATATTCATTTGTACATTAGTTACCGGCAACCCCAGGAAGTCCATTATATCAGCAAGGGCAGCCGACATATTTTGACACATTTCTTCATATTGAACGAACATAAACCTAGGAAAGGGAAAGAAAAGAATTGAACAAATATGACTGAGATAAGCTTTAAAACAGGCATGACAACGATGAACGGT